GAGAACTGGTGTGGCACCATAAGATAAACACTAGACTACTAACTGCGAGGTCGGTATTTCAAACCTACTAACTATCCCTCAAAAAAACTCACATGACTACACTTAACAACAACAAAAGTACAATATTTTAGATCAAATCTGCATATGGTACTAAAATAAGACAATTTATACAATTCAAAAATTGTTCCATAAGCAATACTGAGCAGCTTCAAATATCAGCGAGTAGGCTCTGGTAGGCTAAGGGATGTAAATACAATTGTGTTTCTGGAATTAATAGTGGAACATTATCAATCGTAAATCAGAATCTTAGTTCTCAAAGACCTGTTTGACATCAACTATGGTGGGTTCTATGTAGAAAAACATCAGGATTGGAGGAAGACTCAGTAACAACCTGCGATATGCAGATGATACAACCTTGCTTGCTGGAAGTGAAGAGGACTTAAAATATTTACTGATGAAGATCAAAGAGCACAGCCTTCGGTATGGATTGCATCTCAATATAAAAAAAACAAAAATTCTCACCACTGGACCAATAAACAACATCTTTATCAATGGAGAAAAGATTGAAGTTGTCAAGGACTTCATTCTTCTTGGATCAATTATCAACACTTAAAGAAATCAAACGATGTATTGCATTAGGCAAATCTGCTTCACAAGACCTTTTTAAAGTGTTGAAGAGTAAAGATGTCAGTTTGAGGACTAAGGTGTGCCTGACCCAAGCCATGGTATTTTCAATAACCTCATATGCATGCAAAAGCTGAGCAGTGAATAAGGAAGACCATAGAAGAATTGATGCCTTTGCGTTATGGTGTTGGAGGAGAATATTGAAAGTGTCATGGGCTGCCAAAGGAACTAACAGATCTGTGTTGGAAAAGTGCAGCCAGAGTGCTCCTTGGAGGCCAGGATGGCCAAACTTCATCTCTCATACTTGGGACATATTGTCAGTAGGGACCCAGTCTCTGGAGAAGGATATCATGTTTGGTAAGGTGGAGGGTCAGAGAAACAGAGGAAGATCCCCAGCGAGATGGATTGGCCAAGTGGCAGCATCAGTGGGCTCAAGCATGGCAACAATAGTGAGGTTGGCCTAGGATTGGGCAGTGTTTCCTTCTGTTGTGCATAGGGTCACTATGCATCAGTACCAACTCAATGGCACCTAACAACAATAACAACATGGTGGTAGTGGGAGTCCTGGTGTGGTGCTGTGGGCAAATGTGCTGAATTGAAAAGTCATTTAAAACACAAGGTCGGTGGTTCAAGCTCACCAGCTGCTCCTTGGAAACCCTATACAGGGTTGCTATGGGTTGGAACTGACTCAATGTCACTTAACAACAACAACAATGGTGGTTGCAGAGTCCTGGTGTGGCACTGTGGGTTAATGCGCTGGATTGCAAAGTTGGTTTGAACCGCAAGGTCAGTGGTTCAAGCTTACCAGCCACTTCTCAGAAACAGGGTCGCTATGGGTTGGAATGGACTCAACAGTACTTAACAACAACAACAACAACATGGTGGTAGCATAATGGTTACAGAATTAGCAATTCATACTACCAGCCATTCCACTAAAGAAAGATAAGGCTTTCTGCTCCCTTGGAGATTTACGACCTATGTAAGGTTGCTGTAAGTCCTACCTGTGTCTCAGGCTGTCATCATCATATCTTTTTTATTTTTTCTTCTGGTGTGGCCCTGTAGGACCAGCACTGGACTGCAAAACACAAGGTTGGCAGTTCAAATCCACCAGCTGCCTCTTGGAAACCCTAGGGTCACTATGGTTCAGAATCGACTGAACGTCATTTAACAAGAACAAAACAGAGTCCTCACTAAATTCATTCTAATACTTAAATGACTCCAACATAACCCGAAAGTTGTGCACAAATGTTTCCTCCTTGGAGGTGACCCCAGGTGTCACCGGGCAACATTAAGAACTCCCTTCTTACTCGTTCTTATGGCAACTCATGCAGCTGTATCCCAGTGATTGTTCTATTGTTTCTTTAGATTTTCATGTGTTTCTTTCTCCTATTGTTTATGCACTTCTGGGCATGAATCATATCTCTATTCTACTTGCCTGCAGCTGTGCTCAACCCTCAGTGGTCACTAAACTCATTGTTTAAGATTCCATCTGTAGGACATGTACCTATATAGATGGAGGAAAGATACTGAGTCCTAAGAAAATGTCGAGATAAATTGATTCATCGGACCCAATGGATGCATCTCTGCTTCAGCCCTGTGGCTGACTGGAGAATTCTTCTGGACATAAGCATGTTCCTGGATTTTAACTAGCCAATAAAATAAAACCAAAGACAAAGCTAGCTCCACCTAGTAGATTCGGATTCATGGCAGCCCTATGCGTGAGTAGGATTATGCTCCATTAAGTCTCCAATGGCTGGAATCTTTTGGAAGTAGATCTTCGCCTTCTCTTCTGAATAGAATAAAGTTTTTCTTATTCTCAATGCTTTATTTGAATTAATTCTAATAACTCATTTCCTGAATTAAAAGACACTTGATTCATTTATCTCTAATGCCGATAAGTTGACCTGAGCCTACTTTGGTTTATTCCTCTGCCTGTAGACGCCTTGTCTTGTGCCTCTTCTTTTCCTTCCACCACTTGTTGCAAAGGTCATACCCCATGGACCTTGGCTTGGTAAGAAGGGGGCTAACTCACCTTCAGTTTCCTTCTGGGATTATCTAGATTTATAGGCTTCTTCTCCAAACACCCTACAGATTCTCTCAGGCCTGCTCCCTTGAATCATTATCGACACTGGTGATTTTAGCTCCCAGGAGATAGTTGATGATGTCAAGTGACATTTGTATCACTACTGGGGGGCAGACAGCTACTAGCACCTAGTAGGTATAGGCCAGGGATGTTACTAAACATCCTACAGTACAGAAGACATTGCAGCAGAAGGTGATTTTATTGTAAATGTCACTAGCACTGAAATTGAGACGGTCTGATTTTCACAGATATCACTGACCTTAACAAATCTAGTTAGAGTTCTGGTGTGGCACTGTAAGATAAGCACTGGACTCCTAACTGCAAGGCCAGAGTTTCAAACCCACCAACTTCTCCTTGAAAAGCTTACGCAGGGGTGTTATGAGTTGGAACCAACAGGACAGCAGTTAACAACAACAACAGCAGATCAGTCAGTGAGTCTTTACTTATTCAAACAATGTAAAGCAGGACAGTCAAACTTGTCTAAGGAATATATCCATCGTCATCTAAACACAGAATATATATGTTTTTTCCATGCGGTGTTTATAGCTCTTGGAGAAAAATGACCAACAATTTGGTAACAGGAATTTATTTATTAGTTTGCAACATTAGGTACAACATATATCACAAGCTACAATCCAGTATTATAATTTGTGCTTTGTAGGGTACAGAAACATTTATTCAAGCACAACAAAGATCTACACACAAATATCTGGGATTACCTAAAAAATAAATATATCATTTTCCACATAGTAGCACAAAGAACTTTCAGTTGGAGATGATTGGTATATTTTAAAAGTTAACCTTTGGTGAACCTGCCAAATTAAATATATAACCTATATTTAGACTATTTGTGCAATAAATGGTTAATGACCAATAGAAAAGATCACCAGGGAAAAAGTTTGGCTTCCAAGGAATCTTTGTTAACATTTAAAGATGGGGATGAATACATCAGGTCAGGCCAGCATTGATAGTGTGGGACCTTTTTCACATTTAAAAGCATTTCATAATCTTAAAAAATGATGTAAGAGCATAGGAGTTCAGGAAATCATTACTAAATACCTACTCTGAACATGAAAATAAAAACCAGTGTAACTCATTCAGTAAATGGTTAGAAGATTTGAGGAGACATTAGATGTCCTTATTTTCAAAACAGTAGATCACTGCTACTAAATTACTGAAAATGTGGTACAATTTTCTTTTTCACAAATTCAGTGCTAATCTCTTTGAGTCTGGAAAGGAGATAATTTTAATGATGATCTGAACTAGTCATGTCAACCTCAAGGTTATGACCCTGCTTTGGTCTTTATAAATGTCATAGGGGAGCCAACAACATTCACAATTCAACAAACCCTGCACGCCAAAGTCAACACATGACGTAAGATACCAATCTCTGCATGTTTGGTCAATCTCAAAGCTTACTCAGTAGATTCTTTTGATGACAATCTCTTCATACTTTACAATAAAAATAAATAAATGTTGGTTTGCATTTCATATAATTTAATACAGAAGCAGGCTTTACCTCAAATGGTTTCTTTTTATTTACTTATTTTTTAAAGTAAGAAAGATTTCCCATGTGGTAGGAATTCTGTCATCACATTACCAAAATTACATAGTTATAGAAACAAGACACTATTCAATCTTTCCTTTCCTTCAGCTGAATACCAATGGTTTCTGGGTAACTAGGAACTCAGGTATGGTTGAAGAGAATTTATCTGTGAGTTGCAGTGAATAAATGGAATTACCTTAGTAGAGCACATTGACATACATACTCTGGCTATTCTGTGAATATCTGTTGGTACTGGTCTGAATGTGGAAATATTTTATATAAAAGTCCTAGAAATTTCTCACCCATATCTTAATGGATTAGTAGTCCTGTCACCTGCTCAAACAAGGAAAGTAAAAGTTACAGCATAGTTTACAAAATTATCTTGACCAGTGTATTTGTTTCCAGTTGATTCACGTTAACTGTAGACATGACCTACCGTCTTACATTATTAAAAATACATAAGTGCAGTTTTCCTGGAGATTGGATCTGGTTAAGAGCTTTCAAAAGTTGGGGTCCATCTTGGTTTCTTTTCCCAGCCGTTCTGATGCAAGCTTTTTGAACTCACTCACAGGTTGTATTGATTTGTGCAGCTCTGTATTCTGCTTTTCCTCTGTTGTATTCTGTGAGCAGCAGATTTTTATAGCTCTGTGAACAGGATGCAATGTTTTGAGAAAGTGCAAGCATTTGACAAACCACTGGAATCTAAGCTGGAGTAAAAGAAAGGGATGTTCTACTGGACCAGCTACCTTATCCCAGCTCTAAGAGCCAATCAAAGAGACTCGGGGTCCCGTCCTTCCTTTCCTCGTGCATTTTGCAGTACTGGACAATGGCATGAAAGATATCCCCCACTTTCCAGGATTTCCGATGAACCAGCTGCACCACATCTAGAAACTAAAACAAAGCGCTGTGTTAGGATGTGCATCATAGAGGTTTTCTCATTTCGTCTCACTGAGCTATTCTCCTAAAACCTCAGTACTGTTTCCATTTCCCCACCCCGGACTCTGTAGTCTACAAATCCCTCTATGGCAAAGGACTATTTCCAGGACAGTCTATTGCCTTTTTACAACAACTTAGATTAGATGAGTTCTTTCAACAGAACTAGGTGTTGTACCAACAAAAGACATAATCCATATGCTTCGACAGTATATGGGATAATGCTCTGAGAAATCAGTTTTATTAGTGGACACTGGTCTTTCATGGCCAGTGAGGCTTCCTTCACAGCTGGTAGGGCAGATGTTCTATGTGCACCCATCTTGTGCTACAGCCAAAGGAGATCCTGCTCCCCCCATGCCAGGGACGGACACAGAAGTGGGGATGATCAAGTTTCATATGGTGCCCATGCACTATGCGGTCCAGAGCTGGGAAGAAAAGATTCTCTCATAAGGGCAAGGAATTGAGACAGCAGAGAGAGAGACCAAATTCCCAGTCTTAACAGAATATTCTGGACTCAATCTTCTTAGGCTGTCTGGATGGGAGGTGTAGAGGCAGATCATGCTCCCAACACTGAAATTTCTCTCATGGTCGGTCCCATCTATCAGTTGCAGGGAACTATATGGAACAGCTTTGGCTCTCCTTTCAAGGGTCACTCTTTCTGATAGTTGGAGTATTTCTCATTCAACTGTTTCCTGAGTTAGACTCTGTTGGTAGATGTACAAAACAAGGTTCTCAGTTCCCTCTACCTGTATCACAAATCATTTCTCATAGGATAGGTATATTGCCAAATAAATCTGAAAACACGTCTGCTAAATTGTTTTCATGTGCCGTGGAGTCGGTTCCGACTCATAGCGACCCTGTACAGGATTTCTGAGGCTGTAAATCTTTACAGGAGCAGAAAGCCTCATCTTTCTCCAGCGGAACAGCTGGTAGTTTCAAACTGTTGACCTTGAGGTTCACAGCCTGATTCATAACAACTACGCTGCCAAATAAATATGCCCATTTAATCAAGTGTTAAACTTTGAGTTAGGGTAACCTAATCTTTCTTCCCTACAGTATGCTAATATAGCATATCAAGAGAGGCTGGCTTTGGGGAAAACTGAGTCATTGTTTAGCAAGCATTGAGTATGTGTTTGTGGGGATGGAAACTTTGGCAATGGTTACTAGTGACGGTTGTACAACATGATTACTTTAATTGATGTCATTGAATTGTACATGTAAATGATGATAGATTGGTAAATTGTAATCTATGTTTTTACAACAAGAACAAAGAGGTTATCTTTTCATACTAACAGGAAAAGGAAAGACTGGGTAAATATTCTTGATTTATCACTTGGTCATTGGTACTGGCTTAGAACGTTCTGGACTTAGAAAGTGAATTGTGGGTGCAGATGGTTGGGAAATGGGCAGATCATTACAGAAAGGTCTCTTGATGGAACTGTGTGAAGAGGTCCAACATGATGGCCTCTCAAGCTCCTTAGTCAGGTAGTTTTAGAGAAAATGAACAATTATTAAGTGCCAGAAATGGTGGCTAGTAGTTTTGCATATGTAATCTCATCCCATTCTGTTAAAAAACTGTGAAGTAGGTATTTACAGATGAAAAATATGACAGAATTTGAGAGATGAAAAGTTGACATTAGAATCCATGGCATTTTAACACCCTAGTAAACATTCTGCTACAACATTTGTATTTGATGCAAGGAGAATACAGCATTGATAAGTATTTGGAGTACTGGGAGTTAGGACCGGTTGAGAATCTGGTATTGTTTTTATTGTTTTATGAGGTTGGACGCCTTATTTGTTTGAAAGATTGAGACTGGTTTTGTTACTATCTTTCCAATGTCTCTTCCTGGATTTTTTACTCATCTCTCTCTATGTACACACAGACTTTTGAGCTCAGTCAGATCTTGAATGCCCCTTTCTTTCTGGCCTTTTTCTTCCTCTCAAGTTTGTGCGAATTCATTAGAATTACTGAGAAATGATCTTATAGAGAATTATACTATTAAAATATGTTTCTTCTCCCAGCTGTGATAGTAACAATTATTTGCACAGCTCCAGAAATCAGGATCTTATTGTACTTCCTTGACTTGTGTTGGTTTATTCAGAAGAAAGCCATTTTCTAGGCTGGACATTGAAGTGTTTAACTTTTAATACCTAGAAATATGAGCAGTCCCTCAAAGCATTTTAGGATAATGTGAACAGAGAGGTAGATGTGGAGGGAACAGATGGTAACGACCCTCCAAATAAAAAATTCCCAGTTGAGGGATGTGGTGACTGCTTTTTTATACTTTGTGCCAGCACCTAGTAGATGCTCAATGCACAGTTGTTGAATGAAGATATTGATGATCAAAGATAGTCAAATATGAGGGGGCTTCGAAACATTTGTAGAAGAATGGAATAAAAGATGATGGAATTTTCCACCAACACTTTGAGGCCCCTTGCGTACAATTAAAGTTGCCAAGATTTTGAAATATAGATTTTTGATATCCAGCATCATTGAGGATGAATGTTGACACAGTATTCATTCTTGGATTTTAGTTAATGTATTTGCACATATATAATTAAAAATTGGAGTCTTGGTGTGGCTCTGTAGGATAAGCACTTGACTGCTAACCATAAGGTTGGTGGTCCAAACCAACCAGCCACTCCTTGGAAACCCTATACAAGATTTCTGTGAGTCAAAATCGACTCAATTGGCACTTAACAACAACAAAATAATTAAAAATTAAATATGCACACCTTGAAGCTGACAGTTCAATGTTTTTCTACTGAAAGTACACACCACAAAAATGATGGAAAGTCATGGATAGGAGAAGGCTGACTGGAAACTACAAGCACCCAATGTGAATGAGTCATTTCCAACTCATGGTGACCCTACATGTGTCAGAGTAGAATTGTGCTTCAGAGGGATTTTCAATGGTGATTGATCGAAAGTAGATCCTGAGACCGTTCTGGGTGGACTTGAACCTCCAAACTTTTGGTTAGCAGGCAAGTGCATTGACTGTTTGCATGACCCAGGGACCACATATATGTTAACTCAATACAAACAAAAATCTTTGTGAGATAGTCACATGATCACCAAGTCCATACTGGTACCCCAAGAAAGCAGATTTAAAGCAATGTTTTTGCCCCACTAAATAGAGCCTGCTTAGAGGCTGTGATGGTTTATCCTCCAATGTTGTGGAGACTTTGGTGTTGCGGACTGTGTAAGACTGTTCAGAGGTTCGAAGCCCTATAGGCCCGAGTGTAACAAATGAGGCCACTGGCAGTTAATGGCAAATTGCTTTCATCTTAATATTCTGTTATATATATTAAATTAATACACGGAGCCTTGATAATCCACAGATAAATGTGATATTTTCCTAAAGCCTAAGACTAAAGGTTGCAAGGTCAAACCTTTCTCCAAAGGATTAACTAAAAACATCTTAGCTACTTCTCGGTTCTTTGTTCTATAGACAAA